TGCTTGGTTTAGGGGCTGGCACCAGAGTGGGCAGCCGCCTCCCGCCCCTCCCTTCCAGCCCCCCATGTTTTGGGTGATGACCACAGTGGCACCTGGGCCTTTAATCCCACCCCAGCATACTTTTCTGGCAGGGAGCCCCCCGGGGAGCCACACCTTGGCTTCAGCCTCACGCCACCCCACCTCTTCTCCCTGCAACGGGCACCCGATGGCAGCTCCTGCAGGAAGGAGGCTGTCCTGCCACACCTGCGGGTGACCCGGCCTCTGGCTGCCAGAGCCCGCCATCCTTCCTGTTTGTGCTGCCAGGCTGGCAGGGTCCCTCGCCACCGACCTCAGCCGCAGCCAGTCTGCTCCCTTCCTGGGTGGATTTGCAGGAGCCTCCCCCACCCTCTGCTCCTAGCTTGCTCCTCCTTGAGGACCCTGGGCAGGGTGGCTGCCATGGGGCCCAGCCGTGCGTGGGAACCTGCGAGCTGGCAAACGGGGCTCAGGGGTTTTGCCCAGAAATGGGTCAGAACGAAAGCCTTTCAGAGGAAAGAAAAGGGCATGAGTCAAAGAGAAAGTTGGGGGGGTGGGGGCTCCTCCTCATCTCACCCCACCCAGGCCTCCTGACTCCCTGGGTTTGTGTGGACCCAGGCAGGCAGCCAACCCCAGCTCCGTGGTCTGTGGGCATCGTGATGATCAGGACACAAGCTCTTCCCAGCTGAGCCTTCACTGTGGGCCAGCTTCCCAGTGGATGACCACGGAAGAGGCCTCAACCCAGTGGGCCCCACTCCAGACCAAGAGCAGACCACTGGCCAGTGCCCCCCGCAGACAGCGGCACCTAGGGCAGCAGCAAGGTGAGGGGCACCCAGCCCCAGCCCGAGGGGCGCCTCAGAGAGCGGGCTGAGCCTGGCTGTCTCCCTGACCCCTCACCTGCTTCACCGGGTTGGCTTGAGCGGGGCAGTCCAGATGCATGTCTCGAGCGCCCCCTGGTGGTGTGCTGCAAAGCTACATGGCCCCGGCGAGAAGGGAGCCAGCCCTTCATCCTCAGTAACAAGGTAGAACCGGGTGCTGGAGAGCCCCTCCGACCCCGCCTTTGGAAAGGTAGGTGGGTGCACGGAGCCTGGCAGGTGGCCAAGGGGACCCCCAAGTGGAGGGACTGGTCGAGGAGCAGCACAGGGCGGTGCAGCGGGTGAGCCCAGCACCTCCCCTCCCACTTTCGTCCCAACGAGCCCCAGGACATTGGGGGGATCACGTCTGTGTCCTTGTTCTCCTCCAGGTGGAGCTGCTGGGTGGGGCTCTGGTCCTCCAGGGACCCACTCTGCACCCCAAGTTTTGCCCTGACCCGCTCCTCTGTGTTGCGTGGCTGTAGGGGAGGGCTGCAGCCAGGGACTCTGCACCTGGGGCCGGCCCACCCAGCCACCCAGAGCCAGAAGCTGGGGAGGTCCTCGCTTCCTAGGGTGTCGGCTCAGGGATCACATGCCCCACATTCTGGGCCAAGCATGGCCCTGCCCCAGCATCTTGCTGGGTTGGGGGCATCTCCTCACAGATGAGTGCCACCCCAGGGTCTCTGCCGGGGTCTGGGTATGTCACCCTTAGGCATCTGTGCTCAGGAGGTCACCAGGTGTGGGCAGGGCACCAAGTGGGGAGGTAGCTGAGGCTGGAAGACGCACATCAGTGCCCTGCTGGGCTTCCTCAAGTGGGAACTGGAGAGGGGGCTGGGCTGCCGGGCCAGGGTCAGCAGGCTCAGGCGGGCTCAGGGCTCAGAGTCAGCCAGAAACCAAGGTGAAGTCTGCCTCTTGCTGCCACCAGGGCCCTGGGACAGGGATAGCAACAGCAGAAGGTAAAGTGGAAAGGAAGTAATGGGACCCCAGGCAAGGCTGAGCCAGGTCCCAAGCCCGGGATTGGGGTCTCCAGAGTCCCTGGGGGTCCCCACATGGCAGCTCACCCATAGCCTGGGGCCTATGGGAGCAAGGGGGCTCCTGATGGCTGGGGGCAGGAGCTTGGACACAGTTGAAGGCCGTCTGTCTGAATTGGCCGGGGGCCAATGAAAGCCAAAAAGCTGGCGTGGTGGCTTATGCCTGTAATCCCACTTTGGGAGGCCAAGGCAGGTGGATCACCTGAGGTCAGGAGTTCGAGACCAGCCTGGCCAACATAGTGAAACCCCGTCTCCACTAAAAATACAGCAATTAGCCAGGTGTGGTGGCGTGCACCTGTAATCCCAGCTACTCAGGAGGCTGAGGCAGGAAAATCGCTTGAACCTGGGAGATGGAGATTGCAGATAGCCAAGATCGTATCACTGCACTCCAGCCTGGGTGACAGAGTGAGAGTCTGTCTCAAAAAAAAAAAAGGCCAGGCACAGTGCTCAAGCCTGTATAATTCCCAGATTATCCTTGGGGAGGCCGAGAGCGGGCGGATCATGAGGTCACAAGATGAAGAGCCCTCCTGCTACACGCGGAAACCCCGTCTGTCCTACTAAAAAATATCAAAAAACTGCGGGTGAGGTGGCGGGCGCCCTGTCTCCCAGCTACATCGGGAGGCTGAGGCACGCGACGAGAATGGCGGTAAACCGGGAGGCGAGCTGCAGTGAGCTGAGATACCCGGGCCACTAGCCATCTCCAGCCCGGGCGACAAGAGCGAACTTCCGTCATCAAAAAAAAAAAAATCCAAAAGGCGGATGTGGCGCAGAATGCTGGGCTGCATGGGGGCCTGTGCCACAACCGGAGGACCCCAGCCCCCTGCCAATCCTTCCCCAGCTCAGGCCCACCGGTTCACTTCTCATGCAGCTGCTCTGGGAGGAAGTCCCTCCTTGCCAATCCCTGAGAGAATGGGCAGCAGGGACCATGGGGACAGGTTGGGGACCCCAAGAAGAAGAACACACTAGGGGGCTGCTCTGGGGACCCTGGGTCAGGCCAGCAGGACAGGTGAGTGTTGTGACCTGAGGGACTGACTGTGGAGCTCCAGGGGAGCCTCCTAGCCAGTGACACACTGGCTTGGGCCAGACGCTGCCCTGTGCCCTTGAGTGACGCCCGGTCCTCTCTGCACCCGCCCGCTTTACCTATGGCTAATGGTTTAGAGTGAAGGACGGTGGGCATGGGCGTGGGCGTGCTGCGTGGGCTCAGCGTCCACCCTGCCCCATGCACGCACCCATCACACCAGGGCCCACACACAGGCTCCCATCACACCCTGCCCATCACAGCAGTGCCCAGAGGGCCACGGAGGCTTCCAGCTGAGGGCCAGCCCAAGGTCACAGTCAGGGAGTGAGAGGTGAGGGTCAAGGGGGCTTCCTGGTCTGGGTGGGCTCTGGCCCCCAAAACACGTTGCTTAGGTCAAGCCAGTCTCCCCCAGCAGAGGTGAGCAATTCTCCCCCAGTCTGCCGGGCCCACCCTTTCTCCAGGGACTGTGCCCAGTGGGTCTTATCTTCGCCATGCCAGGTGTGATGGTTAACACTGTCAACTTGATTGGATTGAAGGACACAAAGTATTGATGCTGGGTGTGTCTGTGAGGGTGTTGCCAAAAGAGATTAACATTTGAGTCAGTGGCTGCAGAGGGCAGACCCACCCTTCATCTGGTGGGCACAACCCAATCAGCTGCCAGTGAATATAAAGGAGAGAAACGTGAAAAGGAGACGATGGGCCTCGCCTCCCAGCCTGCATCTTTCTCCCATGCTGGACCCTTCCTGCCCTCAAACATCGGACTCCAAGTTCAGCTTTGAGACTCAGGCTGGCTCTCCTTGCTCTGCAGCTTGCAGACGGCCTACTGTGGGACCTTGTGATCATGTAAGTTAATACTTAATAAACTCCCCTTTATATATATATATATAGATTTCTTTTTTCTTTTTTTTTTTTTAACACAGAGTCTTGCTGTCTCCAGGCGGGAGCACGGTGGTGCAATCTCAGCTCACTGCAACCTCCGCCTCTTGGGTTCAAGCAATTCTCTTGCCTTAGCCTCCAGACACTTGGGACTACAGGCGCCCGCCGCCACGCCTGGCTAATTTTTTGTATTTTAGTAGAGACGGGGTTTTACTGTGTTGCCCAGGCTGGTCTCGAACTCCTGAGCTCAGGCAATCTGCCTGCCTCAGCCTCCCAAAGTGCTGGGATTACAGGCGTGAGCCACTGTGCCTGGCCCCCCTCCATATATATATATCTCCTATTAGTTCTGTTCCTCTAAGAGGACCCTCACTGGCCAGGTGCGGTAGCTCACGCCTGTAATCCCAGCACTTTGGGAGGCCAAGGTGGGCAAATCACCTGAGGTTGAGAATTCGAGACCAGCCTGGCCAACATGGAGAAAACTTGTTTCTACTAAAAATACAAAATAAGTTGGGTGTGGTGGCGCATGCTTATAATCCCAGCTACTTGGGAGGCTGAGGCAGGAGAATCCCTTGAACCTGGGAGGCAGAGGTTGCGGTGAGCCAAGATCGTGCCATTGCACTCCAGCTTGGGCAATAAGAGCGAACCTCCGTCTCAAAAATAAATAAATAAATAAGAGAACCCTGACTAATAATAAGCACACACCAGGGCTGTCTAGGCGCCTGGACCTCCAGACTCCTAATAACCACTGAGGCGCTTCTGAACCCAGTCCTCCTACATCCCCAGCGTCAGTGGGACACAGAGTTTCAGCCCCTGCACCCTGACCTGGTACTGGCCTGATCTGGGCACTTTTGACCACATGGTCCCCTGCCCTCCCTTGGGGCCGCCTTGCTCCAAATTTAGGAGGGGCCAAGTCCCAGCTCCAGGTGTCCAGGCCTCTCCCATCACACCCCTCACCCGGCCCCATGAGTCCTCCTGGCTATGCATAGCTGGTGTCACACAAGTACCTCTGCCTGCCATCCCCTCTCCGCGTGCTGCAGGGCCTGACGTCCGCGGTCCCCGTGAGAAACCCAGACTCAATGTCTGCATCATTTTCCTTCCGCCTGGAGGTGATGGGCACCCACATCCAGGTGTGTGTGGACTGTCCCCTGCTCCAGCCCTCTTTATCACACAGGATGGGGTCTTTCGGCCCGTAGAACCAACTCTGGGCTGGCCCAGCCCTATGCTGCACCCTTCCCCTCTCCCACCTGAGTAGAAGGGTCTGCAGGGGTGAGGCCTGGCTGAGGAGGGTGGGGATGATCCTGTGGCCTCTCCTCCAGCTCCACGGGACAGGAAGGTCCTCCTAATGAGGGGACAGAAAGGCCTCCACCCTCTGGGGGTGCAAGAGCAGACGCCAGGGCCCCCACTCAAAGGTCCATCTACCAGGGCCCCACATGGTGGATGGAGACGGCGGAAGATTAACACAAGCTGGCAACACAGGCAGAAGCCGCAGGTCTGAAATGGACTTTAATTGGCTTTTGTCTCTAGAATTCCCCACCCATTCCTGCGCTCCACGGTTCTCCCTGCCCCTCCAGTTTGGGGGTCCAAACCGAACAGGAGAGGTGCAGGGGACCAGGAGGTCTCCTGGCACAAATGTTTGGGGGTCTCCCTGGCAAGGGATCCCAGGGCCTGAAGCCCAAGGCCCAGTCACAAGCACACAGCATCAAAACATGTTTTTAGTGGGAAGCTCCGGGCCCTGCCCCTCCCCGGGGGTCTCGAGGTCAGGGAGCAGGTGGGCGTCTGTCTGCCTCCAGGTCATGGCAGCGCGGGCGGTGAGCCGGGGGCCGGCAGGGGCGCGGACAGTGCGGCGTGGTCGAATAGAGGGTTGCGCACCTCCATTTCCCCGGTCTGCGAACGTGGGTGTCAGGCCGGGCAGTGGGTGGACTGGGGGCATGCTTGCTGGGAGGAAACCCCAGGAGATGGTATGCCCCTCCCTACACCCTGAGGCACTCACTGGGGCCAGGCCCGGGCACTCGTACACCGTGAAGTCTCCGTCCTCATTCTCCTCATCCGAGGAGGCCGTGTCCAGCTCCTTGGGGGGCTCTTTATGCCTGGGTGGGGGGGGATCGCTGGGTCCTCCCCACACCCTCGAGGTGCCAGTGGCCCAGTCTGGAAGTGGGCACTCAGCCCACCTCAGCCCTGGGGTGGCAGGGGAGCAGAGCCCAGGGTGAAGTTGGCCAGGGGAGGTGAGGGTGCAGGGCGGCAGGGGAGGTGAAGGTGAGGGTGCAGGTGAGGGTGGCAGGGCCCAGGGTAAAGTTGACCAAGGGAGGAGGAGGTGGGGATGGGAGGTGGGTGAGAGGGGGTGGCGGGGCTGGGGCAGCCACTCACCGCTCCAAGCACAGCATCTGCTGCCGCTGGTGCTGGTAGTGGTACATCTCCGCGCTGTGTGCCAGCCGCTGGTCCCCAGGCTGTGGGAAGGAGTAGGGGAGGGGGTGAGGGTCAGGTGGCGGTCAGAGTTGGACGGGAGCCTCAGGGCCGAAGAGGGCCACGCACCGAGATCCGGGGCGCTGCAGGTGAGCCAGGGGACTTTGCAGCGGCGTAGTCAGTCTTCTGGGTCAGGCGGATCTCACGCTGCAGCCTGTGGGGAGTGGGGCCTGAGACCTCTGAGCGTGTGGTGCCCTCCCTGCCCTGCCCGCGGCCGCTGGCTCACCTGCACCAGCAGAGAGAGGCTATGGAGAGGGCAGCCACGCCGGCCACACAGAATGCCAGGATCAGCACTGCGGAAGGGGGCGTGTGAGGGCGGCCTCTGCTGGGGGCCCTGCCGCCCCTGCCCATCCCCGACCAAGACCTACCGAGGGCGAGGCCATCGCCGTGCCCTCCCCGGGGCTCCAGGGGCGACATGTGCACCGGCTCGGATGACACAGGGGAGCCCAGGGAGGTGTGGGGCGTGGGCATGGGGGTTCCTGGAGTGGAGGGGAGGCCCAGCTCCAGTCCCTGTCCCCGTGCTGAGAAGCCCAGGGTGGCTGTAAGAGAGGACAGGTTAGAGCGAGAGCACTGGGCTCGGGACAGGGCCATGGGGCAGGGGAATCGGGGGTCTCACCAGGCTCTGGGAGCCGCTGTCGGGCCTTGGGCAGGGGCGGAGTTGAGTGTCCAGACTCCTTCCGGGCAAGCTCCTGGGCCAGGAAGTCAATCTCATCTTCCAGTCTGGGCTGGGGCCGGCCCCCACCTGGGGAGGGTGAGGGACCATCAGGTGGAGGGACCCCGTCCGGGAGGCAGCCCCAGGCCCGGCCTCCCTGTTCCTGGCAGGTTCCTCCCAGGCGCCTGAGGACTGGGAACACGCCTGGGGGCCCTCTCCCTCCGGGATTGCCATGGTGACAGTGTGGGCGCTTCCTGTGACGGGCAGTGCTTCCCGGAAAGTGGGGGCAGGGCAAGGGGGAGGAGGTGCTAGGGAAATGTCCAAAGACCGGGCAGGGGGAGGAAGGAGTGGGATCTCTCGCCCCAACCCATGTCCATAAAGGGCTGGCCAGCACAGCCCCTTCCGCTTCCCCACCTCCAAGCACCTTCTCAGGCAGAGGGGCAGTGACTCCCCAAGGAGTGCGGGAAAGCCGAAGGAAGTCAAGCATCCGGCACCCTCCCCAGGTCATCAGGAGAACGGGGCAGCCGTCAGGGGTGGGGCTGGTGGCAGGGCCCCAGTGGTGCCCACTGTGGGCTGCACAGTCCAGGCAGACGCTCCCCGGTAGGCAGGCGATGAGCCCACACAGACCCTTACAGCCACTTCTCGGTGCCCCTCTCAACATCCCCTCCGGGAAGCCGCTGCTGCTCCCACCCCCAGCACCTCTGAGCAAAGCCCTCACCACACCTACAGTCACTCAGTGACTGACCATCCCGACAGATGCGGCTCAGGCTGGCAGGTGGGGCACACCCAGCACCCAGCCGTGCCAGCACGTGTAAACATGTGCCAACGGGTGGACAGGACAGTGAGTGGCGGAAAAGAGCAAGCTGCCTGCGGACGGGGAAGTGGGGGCCTGGAGGGCTTCTGGGCAGACCCTGCAGAGCCCAGGCCCGGGGAGAATGGACCCCTCCTCTCCCGTGGCCACTCCAGCATTTCCTATTGTACAGCCCTTCCCCTAGGAGGGCCTGAGTGCCCCAGGCCTGGGTCCAGCTCCATTTGGAAAGGATGGGAAGCTTCGTGGAGAGTGAAGGAGGATCTCCCAGGCCTTGGACCCAACACCCCACAAGGTCCAGGGGTGCTGGGACCACCTGGCACAGGCCTGGGCATCGAGGCTTTATTTTTTTTTTCTTTGAGGGACACAGGTCTCGCTCTGTCGCCCAGGCTGGAGTACAAGTGGTGCAATCTCGGCTCACCGCAACCTCTGCCTCCCAGGTTAAGACGCGCATTCTTGCCTCAGGCCCCGGTAAGTGGCGATTACAGGCATGCGCGCACCACACCCCAGGCTATTTGTGTATTCTTGGCTAGCAACAGGTTTGCACCTTGTTGGCCAAGCTGGTTTTGAACTCCTGACCTCAAGAAATCCACCTGCCTGGGCCTCCCACAGTGCTGGGATTACAGGCGTGAGCCACCGTGCCCGGCCGGCCACTTCTTACAGGGAGAGGTTCACGCAGGGACATCCCCCCATCGACTTCCCCCTTTGCCCTCGTACCCGGAGGCCGGCGCATCCTGGGCACACAGAGCCCTTGCTGGTCCTCCTGGAAGGGTTGAAGGCAGGGCCCACAGGCATGTGCACCAGGGGGACACCGTGCCCGCCTCTTCAGGGCACAGTCCAGGCTCCCGGGACAGGCGGCTGCATCTGGGAAGGAAGCAGAAGGCAGGGCCGGCTCACGGCCCCGCAGGGCTCGGCCCCTGCACATGGCAGCGATGACACCCCCGGAGCTGGCCAGGAGCTGGCCAGGCTTGGTTCTGGCCATTGTTCTGGACAGGCCCTTCCTCCCTGCCGCAGGGGCTCAGAATCAGGAAGCAAACAGTCCTAGAACTTCTCAGAACTACCCTGCCCTCCCCCTCCCCGGGTCCACTTCCAGGCCTGATAGAGCCCTCAACTCAGAAGCTGAGCCTCACTGTCCAGGCAGTGCTGAGTTCTCTTGGGCAGGGCCGTGCAGCCCCACAAGCCCAGTCTCCAGCCTCAACATGCCCCACAGCGAGCCAGGAACCCCATCCAGATTGGGAGTCCCAGAGGGAGGGGCCCAGGTCTGTCTCTGGGGAGCAGCAAACGATGCTGCCAGAGGCCTCTCCTTCCCGTGCGGCTCTGCCTTGAACCCGGCACTGAACAAGTGCGCAGCCTGGAAGAAGGGACGTGGCTCCTCCAGCCTCTGGCTTGTCCCCCAGGCACCAAGGAGACCTAAAATGGAGTCTGCTGGCCTCACTGACCTCAGACACAGAACCCAGGCAGGTCACTCCCAAAGCCACACCACCAGGGGCTGCAGTCAGGGGCCAGGTGGCACCCGAGGGCCTCAGGAGGCCAAGGCTGGCAGTGCTGGGGACGGCAGGCCAGACACTATTTCCTAACCACACTTTCATCTCGCTGATGAGGGGCCCAGGCCACGGTACCAGCTGACACATGTGGCTAATCAGTCTTATCCTGGTGCTGGAGAACAGGGCGAGAGAGCAATAGCCCTCTGCTTCAGTTTCCCCTCTGGGATGCAGAAGCTGAGTTGCCTCAAAGCTAAAGAATGTCCCCAGTCACGGCGAGCCAGTGGAGCCAGGGGAACCCCAGCAGGGCCATCAACCCTGCTTGGGGAGTCTGCAGTGGGACCTCGGGCTAACCAAGACTCTTCCTCTCTGCCCAGCCCCACACTGCACACTGCAGGCGGGCCACTGGCGCCACATGGGGCATCTGTCCTTCTCCAGACCTTGGCTGGCTGGCTTGGTTTCCTTGGTAACCTGACACTCAGGGCCCTCAGGCTGTCGGCTTCCCTTCGAGGCAGTTCCAGCAGCCTCAGCAGCTGCAGTGGCAGGTGGGCACAGGAGCCAATGCCAGGCACTGCCCACCCTCCATGACCTGGGGCAGCAGCCTCAGTATCAGTGGGCCGGGACTTGGGCATGTTAAACATTAAACCTGTGCCCTGGGCCCACCTGCCAGCTTGGCACCTGGCGAGTAAGGCAGTCCCTACCCCTGTGCTGATAACCCACAGTCCACCACGCCAAAGGCAGAGGCCTGAGGTACAAAGCCGGCTCTAGGGTCTGGGTTCCAGGCCCCTCCCAGACCCTTATTCCCCAGCCCAGGAGCCTCCATCCCCCACTTCCTCCTCCTGAGAGGTCTCAGGAACAAGAGCAGCTGGAGAGTGGCTGGCACCCCCCACCACTCAACGTCTGGGCTGCCTGAGGGCCCTCCCTTCCAAGCACTGGGCACTGGGAGTGGGGGGGTTGCCTAGGGAGGGCCCTGCTAGGTCTCCTGGTGAGGCAGACATGAAGCTGCAGAGGCCCGTGAACTGAGGACTGGCACCCGCCACCCACCCGGGCTCAGCACAGCAGCTGCAGCCCCGTTTCCTGAATAGGTGGCCTCCGCCTTTCCTGGCTGACCACACTCTGACTCTTGGAAGCCTGTCCTGTTCATGCCCACCTCCCATCCAGGGGCACTGTGCCCAGGAGGAAGCCGGCCTCACTCTGGTCTCTTGAGACCACACATGCAGAACCAGGCTGCCCAGGTCAGCGCCTCAGCTGTGCCACAACCCACTTAACTTCTCCATGCCTCAGTTTCCTTGCCTGTAAAATGGGCTCGCAGTACCTCTTCTGCAGGGCTGCCAGGAGGATTGCACGAATGCAGTCACAGTCTCCCAGTTCAGTGCCCCCAGAAAAAGGTCAGCTTTGCATCCTGGGTTCCTGCAGGGAGCTCTGCTCTCTGGAACCTCAGGACCCATCTGTGCAGCTGGACCCTGGGCTTATCACCCTCCTCCGGAGTCCACCTGCAGCCCTCAGTCCCAAAGAGAATGCCAGTGCCCTCGAGGGCAGGGGCTGCAGGAGGAGGCTCTGAGGCTACAACAGCCTCCCCACATTGAAGCTAGAACAGGACCCCGAGCCGGCGCCATCAAGTGTCCCCGGAACTTCAGCGCCCACCATGGCGCACAAGGCCGGTGCCCAGCGCCACCCAAGGAGTGAGGACAGGCAGAGTAGCACTAGGCCCCGACCCCGGGACGCGCACGGGCAGCGAAGCCGGCGGGCACTCAGGGCCAGCCCGCACCCGCAGGAGCCCCGAACACGGAGACACACAGAGACGCAGGCAGACTCCCAGCGGGCCCGCCCAGAGCCAGATGGCCGCGGCACGGAGGCCTGAGCCAGACGGGTTCCCTGCGGAAGAAGCCAGGAACCTCAGGTTCGCCTCCGGGAACCGGCAGAAACCCCATCCGGCGCGGCCTTTCGAGGCTCCGCGCTGCGCCCTCCAGCCGGACCTGTTTATTCCATCCTGGGCGAGGCGGGGTCGCCGCCACTAGCGGACCAGGCCTGCAGGGCCTGCGGGCCTGGGAAGGACGAGGGCGGCGGCGCCCGGCAACCCGGTCCCCGCCCGGCGATCCCGGCCCCGGGGCGCCCCGCGGCCTGCGCCCAGCGCGCTCGCTCACCCGGGTGGCCGGCGGCGGCTCCACGCAGGGCCGCGCCTAGGACGAGGCCGGAGAGCAGCAGCCGCAGCAGCCGCAGGTGCCGCGGGGAGGGCGGAGGCAGCGGCGTCGCCATCCTTCAACGCCGCCGCCGGGGCAGCATGGCACCGCGAGGCCGGGGGCTCGGCGCGGGCTCCGGGCTCCGCGTCGGGAGCAGCGGAGGCAGCCGGGGAGGACGGAGAGGAAAGAGGAGGCGGAGGCCAAGGAGAAGGAGGAGGAAGAGGAAAGGCACGGGCGGCGGCGCTGACGCTGCAGCAAGGATCCGGGATGGAGGCGCCGGCGAGGCGCGCGCGCGGAGACTGCGCCTGCGCGCTCCACCTGCGGGGGAGGGAGGGCGGCTCCAGGCTGCACCCCCTCCGCCTGCTCCAGTTCTGGTCCCCTCTCCGGGCCGCTCTGTACCTCTCTCGGCCTCAGGGTGTCTCGGCACCTGCGGCCTCCGGGGCCGGTGCAGTTCCCAGAAGTCCGGCTGGGTTTGGGCCGCGGGTGGGTGTCTCCGGGATGCGCTCCCTTCTGGCCTCTTCCCGGTAGGACTCCCAGCCCCTCACCCGCACCCGCGATGGGGCAGAGGACCTGTATGGGCCTAGCCTCTCGAGCGCACAGGGACACAGGAGCGCCGGGCTCACGCAGACAGGTGCTCACAAGCTGAGCAGGTGCGCAGGGAGGCACAGGTGTGCCCACAGAGGCAGGGGCACCCCCACTCGCGGGAAAAGCAAATACAGGAACGCAGAACGGCCCCGGCCCCGACTGCAGCTTTGGCTGGAGCCGGCGGCCGCGCTCAGTGAGGCCACCAGGGGGCAAGAGTGACCCGGAGCCACTGAGGACTGCAGCTGGGAGCTGTCCAAGGTGTTCACGGTCCCCAGGTGAACCCTTTAGCTCCCCCAGAACAACGGGCATTTTTTTTTTTTTCCTTTGAGACAGAGTTTCTGTCGCCCAGGCTGGAGTGCAGTGGTGCCATTTCGGCCCACTGCAACCTCCACCTCCCGGGTTCAAGTGATTCTCGTGCCTCTGCCTCCCGAGTAGCTGGGATTACAGGCGCGTGCCACCACGCTGGGCTAATTTTTGTATTTTTAGTAGAGATGGGGTTTCACCATGTTGGCTCAGCTGGTCTTGAACTCCTGACCTCAGGTGATACGCCGGCCTCAGCCTCCCAAAGTGCTGGGATTACAGGCGTGAGCCACTGTGCCCAGCTGACAATGGGCATCTCTGATGCCCCCCTTGCACCTCACCTGTTGCCTCCCAAGAGCACGCCCATCCCATCCCACTAGAAACCTCCCTCGACTAGTCATTCAGAGAACAAGAGTGAGACCTCCAACCCGGGATGTCCCCTTGGCCCTTCCAGTCTCAGAACTCCAAAGGTGCGGCTGGCTGCCCTCAGGTTTATCAAATGACTAAAAAAAAAAAAAAAGGCAGGGCGCGGTGGCTCACGCCTGTAATCCCAGCACTTTGGGAGGCCAAGACGGGTGGATCACGAGGTCAGGAGATCGAGACCATCCTGGCTAACACGGTGAAACCCCGTCTCTACTAAAAAATACCAAAAAAACTAGCTGGGCGAGGTGGCGGGCGCCTGTAGTCCCAGCTACTCAGGAGGCTGAGGCAGGAGAATGGCGCAAACCCAGGAGGCGGAGCTTGCAGTGAGCTGAGATCCGGCCACTGCACTCCAGCCTGGGCGACAGAGTGAGACTCCGTCTCAAAAAAAAAAAAAAAAAAAAAAGGTGTAGGGGGGAAGGAGGAGCAGGATAAGAATCACCATCCTCCCAGGACACTGAACAGAGAGACAGCATCTAAGCTCACTTCCCAGAAAGTTGAGGAGACGAGTGGGCAAGACCAGGCCTTCCCATCCTGGAGAAGACTGGCTTGGGGAGGGGCTGCGGGGCCTGGCTGGGGCTGCAGGATGCCTCTTGGAAGTGTAGGACACTCAGTCCCAGGTGAGAAGGGCCCCAGGTGAGAAGGGCAAGATGCCCTGTGACAGTGCATGGCCTGGATCCACAGCCAGGTTCTGTGCAAGATTCCTGCCTCTGGGTCCTGGTCCTGATCTCATCTCCCACCCCTGTGCCACCTCCTGATGAGGACCTGCCCTCCCTCCACTCTCTACCAGCACTGACTGCCCCCTAGGAAGCCGCCTGGCTGGCTGCCACCCGCTCTCCACCACCTCCCTGACCCCTACCCTCCAGTGAGTGGTACAGGCTCACTGTACTAGGACCCAACCTCCAGTCTGGCCTTGGTCACCAACGCAGATCTGGATGTGATGGTTTTGGGGAACTCTGCTGGCCAGAGAAGACTCAAGGTCCCAGGAATGCTCCCTCGGGCCAACCATTCCTGCAGCTACTCTAGGCTGCCACGGCACAGCAGGGGAGCAGCCAGTGCCCCAGGCCTGGCTCCAGAGCAGAAAGCAGTAGGGAGGGCTGGTGTCCACCCTCAGGACCAGGGGCAGGCCCGTGCTGCCAGAACAGCGGGAAGGTGGGGCACAGGCCACAGCAAGGATGCCCCACCCCACAGACACTCTCCTTTCATGTCTCTAGGAAAATCTTTTTATTACAAAATTTTTACAAGTAGGTGCTGGGCTGGCTGCCAGCCTGTGGGCTGTGACCCTCCCCAGTGAAGACGCAGACCCCACAGACGGAGCCTCTAAGGGCTGATTCTCGGAACCAAGGCCCCACTCCCTGGAGACCCAGCCCTGAGGAGGAGGAGGAGGAGCACGGGGCCTGCAGTGATGCCCAGGCTGAAGCGGCTCAGGGAGCTGGATTGATCGCTCTTTGCCCACTGGGGCCCCTGTGGGTACCAGAGTCTCAGTTCCCATTTCCTGGGCTGCCTTAGGGGCAGAGACGCTGAGGGTGGGGTAGAGGGATGGAGAATACAGTGCTGGAGTGGAGGAGGGCAGGCAGTGGACGGTGGCGAGGACGTGGTGATGGAGCGTGGGTGGAGGAATGCAGCGGATTACAGGGTGCGGGGAGAGAGGTAGCGCGGTAACAGGGTTGGGGCGTGCCGCGAGCGGGTGCGGCGGGGGCGCGCGGCGGTGAGGTGCCGGCTCAGCGGTGGGGGGAGTGATGGCACAGCTTCCCCCGCCGGCCCCTAAATGGTGCTTGGCAGCTTGGCGGAGTGCACCTGACGCAGCAGCAGGACAAGCGCAGCCAGCAGCGCGGAGGCGAAGAGCAGCAGGAGGACGACCCAGGAGCTGAAGTCCGTGCCCTTGCGCAGCCCCGGCGGGTCGGCGGGGATCAGGTTAGTCAGGTTCAGCATGTAGCCGAGCGCCCAGCCCACTGCAGTGTCCGCGGCCTGCGGCGAAGGGCGTGGCCTCAGCTCCCGAGAGGCCCTGCCCCGCCAAGGGCGGCCCCGCTCCGCTCCGGCCCCAGCCCACCTTCTTCTGGAAGATCACACCGCCGAAGGCGCGCTCGTCGAATCCGTAGCCGCGACTCAGCAGCTGCTGCACGAACATGGCCCCGGCGCAGTAGTCGGCCAGGTGGGCCTGTTGCCCCGGCACCCGAGCTTGCAGCTGGGATGCAGGCAGGACACAGTCAGGCAGGCGACCACCAGAAGGTCTCCGCCCCACGGGGAGAGGGGGCCGGCGGCGTGCTTCACCCCTCCCCAGACACACACGGGCGGTGCAAGGCCAGAGACCACCACACAGGCCCGGACACGAATGGCAAGACCGAGTCTAAGGGGCACCCTCGGCTGGGCACGCTTCCATCCCTCCCCAGCCAGCGCCCCGGTGCCTGGAAGGCCAGTGAGGAGGGACAGCAGGCATGGCCACCAGGGAGCGGGGGCAGCAACACGTTGGTGTGTGGCCAGGGTAACAGGAGGAGCTCCAGGCCTGAGCTCCAACCTGCCCCACCCCAGTCTGTCTGAGACTAGGCCCCTGGGAGGACGAGATAGGGCCTCGCTCACCACCCCAGTCCTGGGACAGCTCGTACATTTCTCTTGGAGTCTCCAGTGGGCACACTCCCTGTGCCCAGCCCTACTTCCATCTTCCCTTGCATGGCACCATGGAGGGACCAGTGGCAGAGCCAGAAACGTGGGCACCGGCCTCCCCTCTGCCCTCCAGATCTGGGATGAGGGTCGGGCCTGGCAAAGCTTCTCCAGCCCGCCCGACTTGTTCACAGCCTCCTGGCCACATCCCCGCCACCTCTGGAGTCAGCCTGATGCCTGCCATCGCCCCCACTGCAGCGGGTACTCCGAGAGGCCTCTCCATGCAGGGCTGGGTAGGTATGCGGACATGAAGGCTGAGCCCTTCCACACAGCCCTGGAGGAGGGTGAGCGGGACTCACCTGAGCCCAGGTCTGGTTGCAGACGTTCACTGCGGCTGCCTCCAGCTGCTGTAGGGTGGCCACGGGTAGCCCCATGGAAGTCCGCAGGAAGTCCACCGTGTAGAAGAAGGCAGAGAAGGCCTGTCAGGGGGCACAGGCACGCTGTGAGCAGACCCCAGCAGCTCAGGGCACCTGCCGCCACCCGTCTGCCCCTACTCACGATAAAGTTCCCAGCCACTGGGGGCTGGAAGACCCCATTGAAAGAGCATCGGGAGAAGGGGCAGGAGGAGAAGTTGAAGAGCCCAGAAACCAGATCTCGGCAGAGGTGGGGGTCACTGCTTCCCGACAGGCTGACCCACGCGCTGCTGTTGAAGGTCTGGGGCCGCTGGGCCACGGTGCATGGTGACTGGTACACATCCCCGAGCAGCACGTGGGTGGAAAAGCCCCTTGGCCAGCAGGGGTGGAAGCTGTGGGTCTGGGGGAATCACCAGCATGACAGGGCGGCACCACCGCCGCTCCAGAGGGCCAGCCTGACGAACCTCCCCCAGGTCTCACTCTGGCAACCTCACTTTTGTGCTCAGGGGCAATCCATGGTTCCCCACTGCCTGCTTGACAGATCCCAACGCCCCTGACCGGGCTCCCTCTGACGGACGTCCCTGGCCCTC